ATTAATATTACAGGAAGTGTTCATTAGCAAAATTCCAGAAATAATCGATCGAGACGAGCCAGACACAAAGAAATTGTACTTACAGATATATTTACATCTGGTTGGAAGAAAAACCCCTTACGGAAAACAGTAAATTTTACCCTTGATCAGCGGTTTTTAGTTTCGTTTTATAATCGTTAAGGCCCGACTAAGCTTATAGTAAGATATATCTTTTCTTTTTCAGCTCTTTCCTTTAATGGAGCTATCTCGCCGCTGTGCTCTTCTGTCTCCATTTATGCCAGCGCTCTCGTGATTGGATACCTTGGGCGCCTGGCCTTTACGGCGTAAGGAACGGCGCCTGCTGCTTGCTTTGCTGATGTGACTAAACTCTGACGTAATTTAAAAAGGACGCAAGCCTGAGTTGTTTAAACTGGAGATTAACAAAAAAAATACGTTTTTGATTACCTTTACTTTCTATTCGGAAATACTCTGCAATGCTTGTTTGTAACAAATAATAAGGACATGAAGGATTTGTAAAAGAAAGGAAAAAAATGAGTATTAATTTCCTGTGGACTATGCTTTCTTGTAATTATTTGGCACCTCTCTAAATCGAAAGAAAATATATAGCACAACTTAATTTACCTGCCAATAATTTACAGTTAACTACACATGTGTTTTTCTGTTCACTTTCAAACGTAGTACAATATCTATTAACATTTTTTCAATAAAATTGCTTTGCTGTGCTGTGAAAAACTTGTCATTGTTTAGCATAACAGTCAATTTCAGCTTAGAGACAGTTAAAGAAAAAAAAGACAGAGAATATTATCACTCTGCTAAAAAAAGAAAAAAGTATTCGTGGGCACTGCGTATTCATTGATTAGCCTTTGTAAACGTGAACGCCTTGAATAACTTTACGATATCTTTTTGAGCATTATAAAAATCAACTATGGCATTGTTATGTTATCTTCTCGAATTCATTTAATACTCATAAAAATGGTTTAATGAGTGTTTGGAAATCAGGAGAAATACTGCTCATTTTTGCATCCTTAATTTCTCCTTCTAAAATCAATTTGTTTGAGAAGCAATATCAAGTATTCGACACAGTATTTCATCTGGTGATAAAACACTGCGTCTCATGCTTGATATACTACAGCACCAATGATGCCAGCACTGATGCACATTTTTTCGTTGTATTTTAGTTCTGAAAACAATTGGATTACAAAACAGTTAGCCTATTCCATGCGTTCAAATAGTGAATTAAGCCTCCCCCATCCCTCCGCCTTCCCGACCATTTTTTTCCTAAGTGAAACGTTCCCCCGAACCTTTATACATTAAACGAATTCATCGGTATAACGAACGATTTTGTTTACCCCAGTAATAGTAAAACATATGGGGAAGAACCTCGATATAACGAAACCTCTTTATAGCGAACAATTTTGCAAGTCCCTTGGCCCTTCGTTACATCGAGTTTCCACTGTATCTTGTGTATTTTTGTTTTCCTTCAATTTCTCTGGCGAGGCACAAGGACAGTACACGCCATTAAGTGTGTAACGAGAAAGAAAATTGTTCACGTCTCTTGCCAGTCCCTCAAATTCAGTTTTCAGACCCGCTCCAGACCTTTCGCCGACCACTCGTGCGTGCGTTTTTTTGCGCAGGCTTTTTTGCAGTCTAAAAAACTGCATCTTTCCTTCATTTTTTTTTACCACCCAGTGGACACCAGCTTACCTAAGGAAGAACAAAGGAGACTTTTGTCTAATTGGTTGTTTGATTTTGTAGTGTTCAGTCTCCTCACCGCGCGCAAGTTAGTAAACAAAGATGGCTGCCAAAGCGTAAGACTCCTTGGATAGTTCGTTCAAGATAGCTTGTGAAGGTTTACAAAGTATGATGACTTTTTCTTTGCCTATAGTCGGGAACTGATTACCTGAGGAAGACCATTGAGACTCGTTCACAGAGCATGGTTATTCATATTCCAGGCTTCTCAAGGCACTTATATTTAAGTATTTAAGTCCGGCATAATCAGGAGCATGATACCTCAAAATAAGGCAGCATAATTTTGTGTATAACACCTTGGTTTCATGGTAAATAATACTCGATTTTACGAGAAAAATCCGACACACTCCACTGCCGCTAGTGCGCCAACCTTCGGACAACCTACCATGGATGTTAGTCTCGCATGTCACGCAGCCGTTTTTATCTCGTCACACAATGCTCCTCCCCAAGACAAATAATGACTTCATAGGAGATAACTCAACAACACACATGACACGATCGCCATAGAATGCAGCTGCAATTGGCTAAAATTGGAAAAGGATATGTCGTCAAATGCGAACAGCCTTTTCGAGGAGCGTTGCGTGAAGAGACAAAACGCCTCCGATCGTGGGAGACTAAAACAGGGTCACATGATCACTCATCCAAGTGGGTGTTCAAGGAAAAGTTCCTTTTGTCTTACTGGCACGTGACGCCGATCCTTGGCTCTCTTTCTGACTGAAACGTTTTGCTTTCAGCTTCAAAGCAACGACTG